GGGGGGGGCCCCCCCCCCCCCCCCCGATTTCTTCACTTTCTGATGTTACTTTGCTAAAGACCATGCCTGCCTTATAAAGAAAAACCGAACACATCTCAATTTGGACCTTTGCTCAAAACTGTGTGGGGTTTTTTCCATTCTGTTTCTTATGCTGGTTATAGTCTTACAGGAAACGGATGGGCAACAATTCAGTTTCTTTTGTTAGCTGCATGTGTATCTAAGCAGGACTATCCTGAGAAGCCTTAAAGTGGCATGATGATATCCTACTAAAACTATCCAGCTACACGAAAGCTTCTGTGAACATACGCCTTCTCCAATTATGCATGAAAAACGACTAGAAATTCATCCCTCTCTTCTAATTCAGAGTAAAAAGAGACAGTCACAGCTCTAGCTGAGCCTAATGGTCACTGAGTTACTGTGAAGCCCCCAGAATTCATGATGGGATCTTTCAACTAATGATACTAATAAAATGTAAAGTCAGTGCTAATGTCAGATACGTTGCCCTCATTTTTTCTGAGTGACTAAAATGTTAACATAAGCAGTGCTTCAGACATGAATACGTACTCCTGACTTTCCACTTACTGGGCCACAATTGTCTGATATGACCATCACACAGGTGTATCTGTGATCATCGCACTTTTTAATTAACACAAACGGCCAGATAAAACCCTGCCTACAGCCTTTGGCCTTCATGTTCAGGGAGACTGGACTTTTGACCTAAACTGAGGGTGTTCAAGAACCTTGAATATCAGGCCCAGAGACCAGTCCTTAAAACCATGAAAGAATATATGAGAGAAACTGGTGCCTGATCCATATCATTAATGCCACTCTCCCTGGGCATGGCAACAAACTGCAGATCTGATCTTTAAATGCTGCATGGCCAATGGAAAGTGTCAAAAGCTAGAAACTGAAGTTTGCTTTTTGTCCCAGCTTGATTTACTGCCTGGTCTAAAAGCTGTACAAGACTCACAGGGCATAGCTACATTGTGCATTCATGTGCCATTGCTACTGCACATTAAGTTTAGTAATACGAGGTACTAACTAAATGCACAGTAGCTGGCACCACAGGCAACTGGTGCCTCCTGAGTCGGGAGGGGGGGTACATATCCCCCACGCAACCAGTCAGAGACCGATTGCGATGACCGGGGGTGGGGGAGGGAGGCCCCCTGCAGCTGATCTCACTCACCAAAAAGTGGCCATGGGACTTCCGGAAGTGGCCGTGGCCACTTCTGCTGGCGGCCCTGCTCGGCACTCATGCGCCACCTGGAAGTGCAGCCACAGCACCTGGCAGTCCTGCTCCCTGGCTGACACTTGCAGGAGGGGCACCAGTACTCCTGCCTGCCCCCCCTGCCCATTGCCTAAGCGGTGAGCGTGGCCATCAGGGGGTGCACCAGTGTGCTCAGGGGGTGCACGTGCACCTCTGTGCACTCCCTATGCATTGCCAGGGGCTGGCACTACTGCACAGTAGCAAAGGTGCATGGTCTTTTCATGATGTTTAATGGGCAGTAGACTAATTCTACTGCATATCAGTGTGGCTTTTGCTGTGATACGCTAATATGCAGTAGAATTAGTCTACTGCTCATTAAGTGTCTCATGCAGATGTGCCCACGTTGACTTTAACTGGGTTTGGGCTCTAGCCCCCAAAAGGGAAGCCAAACAGATGATCGCTTGAGGCATTGTGAGCTTTCCCATTATTTGAATGGGTTACCTAATGGACTTGTGATAACACAGGAGTCATTTCTGTTTTGTATATGAAAATAGTGAAGCCCAATTCAGTGCCACGAAGGTTATATACCCAGTCAAAGCCGCATTTGTCCCCTGAGTATCATTTTATTAAACTGCTCACAAAATCCTGCTGATGATATCTGCATTTGGGATAAAAAAAAAAAAAAAAAAAA